GGGCAAGGGAAGGGCTGAGCCCCTTTGAAATTTTATATGGACAACCATACGGGGTACAAAAAGGAATATCCACACAAATTGGAGATGAAATTATGAGCTCCTACATGGTGGCGTTAGGGAAACAACTCAATAAGATCAGAAAACATGTAATTGGTACTCGAGGTAGAGGGCTGGATGGACCTGTACATAATATACAACCTGGGGACTATGTATATGTTAAGTCTCTTACAGAAAAAACCTTGGAGCCACGGTGGGAAGGGCCATTCCAGGTGCTGCTCACGACGTTCACAGCCATCAAGATTAAGGAATACTCGGCCTGGATACATCACACCCGAGTGAAGAAAGCCCCTAAATCTCCATGGAAAGTTACCCAAGTTCAACCAGGAAGATTACGCTTCTCACGATAAGTCTGATAATCATTTTTCCTTTAATGTATAGTCAAAGGTTCAGTGAATGGCCATGGTCCCAGGCCCACATTGGGTATACTGGAAGTATGGGGATAGGCAGCACACACACGACTCTAAATTTGGCTACTACAGTTATACAGGGGATAAATGTGAGCTCAAAAGAAGAATGGAATCACACCTATCAAGGAGTACAACAATTGCAGGGAACATTGGGACAAGAAATTAAAATAGGATGCAGAGCAATTAATGAGTCTACTCACTGGGCAGCAAAACAGATCACAGTAAGAACACGTATGGAATCTGGGGAACCGGGCGCCCTTTTAGCAAACCAAGTCTGTGATACAACAAAATCAGATTGTTGGTATAACTCTACTCTTAACCAATCAATTTCCGTAGTATGTCTCTGGGTCAAGGGGCAGCCGATATTGGGATTATCCTTCAGATTTCATATAATAATAAACAACGCAACAACAACACCAACAACTGAGAAGACAACCAGCACAACAACAACAGCGCCAGACACAACTCAAACAACTCAACCCCAAACAAAACCAGGGCCTAAGATTTATGAAGTTGGCCCATATATGATTAGGAATGTGGGCCAACAACAATTATTATTTAACCCAGATTGGTCTCTTAAGCGTGTTGAATTGATAATACAGACTAATATCTCCGAAATCCAACCAGCCTGTCTTCCTTTCGTAGAAACATCTTTCAAGGGCTGGACGAGATGGACACAAAAACAAATGCACCTTGAAAGCAGAACAAAAAGAGATTTAACTGGAGTATTAGGAACGGGGTTGGGAGTCTTGAATAGAATCGATTCAGAAGTATTAATGAACAAGTTGGTCACTGCAACAAGTGATTTAACAAGGCTAAAGCAGCCTCTGCAGTCATCTTTGTTGGCATTGGGAACTAGTCAGTGGCAAGTTTCAAAAATATTGCCAATATGGGAAAAGAATGAGGACCAAGATCACAGATTAATACTAGATGCACTTAATATGGCCCAGAATAATGTGTCTTTAGCTTTTAGTTGTATACAGGCACAGTTATGGCTGCAGGCAACCGCTGCCTTGATCATAAGGGAAGGGAATGAAAGAATTTTTCCAGTTGAAATCCGAAAGGCTGTTTGGGACGAAGCTACCAATTTTGAAAGAAGATTCCAATCTTGGTGGACTATGGTGAATTTTACCTATGACTCCACTACTAACATGGCTACTGCCTTTGTGCTCACCATACGTAATGCTACAGTTTATGTAATCCATCCCATCATCGCATTAGGGTTAAACCATGAGGATACAGTGCTCTATCCTTCAGAGCATAGAGCATGGGCCCGGAAGGAGAATGAGAAATGGCAGACTGTAAACGTGGAATCTTGTATTACTCGAGAACAACAGGGGTTCATCTGTGAAAGTAATACAATTGACACCAGAGACATATGCCTTGACACTGAGCAAAGTATCTGTCACTTCGAAATTCACCCAGATAATAGTAAGAAAACTGTGATTATATATGCTGGTCAAGGCTGTATATGTTTAAGAACCGCTTGTGTATTCGTAGAGATAGATCCTGACAATGTAACTTTGTTTACTGGGAATCATTCTAATTTTTGTATTTGTAACTTTGTTAAGATTACTGGGTGTGACTTTGTATATTGGGCACCAGTGGTTTCCCACCAGTTGATAAAATCTAAAATCATAAATTATCTCGAATTATCACCTACACCTATTGGAATGAACCTTACATTAGTAAGGCAATTGATTAAACATCAAGATTTGTTAGGGATCTTGAGAGAAATTCAGAGAAACGGAGAGAAAACTTTAGTTACTATACACCATGATACAAAAGAAATAAACAGGGTTTTGCAAAGAACAAAACAAGATGCAAGTCACAACTGGTGGGATACTCTTTTCGGTTGGTCGCCTTCTGCAACAGGGATTCTTAACATTATGATACACCCCATTGTGATTCTACTAGGTAGTTTAGGAATTTTATTAGTACTAACCATCATTTTGTATTTATGGGTCTGGAGAATGTTTAAAAGAATAACAGCGATGCATGAGGCTTTATATTATTTGGGGGATTGCTGAAGTAAAAGAATTTACTCAGTATAATAAGAAAAGGGGGGATTGATACAGGGCCAAAATAGGAACAGGGGATGTAAGGGTTAACATGAGAATAGCAAGAAGGGGATAATAGCAAGAAGGGGATAACAAAAGAAAATAGTTCAAGGGAAATAGTTTAGATAACGGTTAACTGTCTGCTTAGTGAGCAGACAGTTTATAAAACACGGTGAGCTCTCTAGGCTTTATCAGTACCAAGCCGGTTGGAACTAGACCCACGGTTTGGACAACAGCCAGTAAGAAACTGAGTATGCGCAAAACCTGGGGTCACAGAGCGGACAGGAGGAAGAGGAGCTTGACTTCATCCCCAAAGACCCCCACGACCACCACCAGAAGACACTGCGCAGACTCAACTAGGAGGAGATTATGGAAATGCTAATTATAATATGAAGCGGGGATAGGTGTTGAATATGTATAGGCGTATTGCGAAATATTATGAATATGTAATCATTTGCTCTATAAATTTTAGGTAACAGCATCACACGTTGGGTACACAATAGGAGGAGTTATCCCCTGTGTACCTCAGCGCTGAATAAACATACCTACTTTACAATCTATCAGATTGTGGAGTCTATTTCCGCACGTCAGGGAAAGTGAACTAAGACAGCCATGTAGCAAGAACAGTTTAAAAGTGAGGGCACTAAAGACAGACAATAAGGTAGACAAAGAAGCACCACAAGTGGGAAAACAGTAGACAGAACATTCAAAAAGAAACGGTAATTAAGGAGATAAAGAATTTTTTAAAAATAATAGCACTAAAGAAAAAAAATTAATGAAAAATTACTAAAAGCTATGGGCGTAAGAGAGAAAAGAACTAAAAACACAGACATCAAACTAAAGCAGCCATAGGAAAAAAAAAAACAGAAAAAGTGAGCGCACTAAGGGCAGACAAGAAATTATTTTAAAATGAAGATGGCAAAGTAAAGATGGTGAACAGGATAAAAGTAGACAGAAAACTATAAAAATCAACTGTAAATAAAATATAAGGAAAGAAATTTTAAGTGACTACACTATGGAAAGAGAAGAAAATAATGTTAAAAATATATTGAAGGGAAAAAAGTAGGCATAAGAAGAACATTTAAGAAGCACTAATAATAGTGCCCTAATAGGCACTATTATTAGTGCCTGTTATAGGCACTAGAGAATTAAAGGAAAAAGTTATGAAATAAGGAGAGCAAAGTAAAACACATGTAGAGAGAAAATTCAGAAAGCAAGGGCACAAAGGAAAGTCAAGAAATCAAGCCAGGGAAATCAAGACAGTGAATGGGATAAATGTTAGAAGAAATTTTTAAAATCACTGGAGCTTAAAGAACTAAGGAAAAAATTTAGAAGTAGCAATGGCAAACTAAAACAGACATAGAAAGAAAATGTAAAGAGCAAGGGCACCCAGGAAAGACAAATCCATTTAGAAAAACAGCAAAGGGAATAAAAGCAGGCATATAAAGAAAAATTAAAACTTAGAGGGGTAGGGAAGTAAGGGGGAAAATTAAAATAGAGACGGCAAACTCAGATTGAGAAACAAAATTTTAAAAGTGACGGCACTAAGGGAAGATGAAAACTAATTAAGACATAAGACAGTGAAGGGGCTAAAGGGAGGCAGGAAAATGTTAACAAATGTTAAGACAGCTGTGTGCAAACAGAACTCTCAACAGCAGAGCTTCAGGTGCCACCTAGCTTGGCACTGGAAGAGATGACTGACTGCTCAAGAACACATAGAGTGCAACACACACCAGACACATCCGTGGTTTAGGCTACACTTGCAAAATAAGGAGGGCTCAACAGGCACTATGCCAGGGAGGCGATGTACTCAAGACTCTCAGGAGGGATACTGAGATGCCTGCTGATGACAGAGGTATGGAGACATCAAGGCCTGAGGACAGTACAGTATAAGACACAGAAGAGAGACTACACAAACTAGAGACACAGGCTGGAACTTGCCTCACCTGGCACACGCTAGCGTCATGCTGAAACACTGCCTTCCTAAAGGGGGCTGTTCCTGGACAGCCCTCTTCTCTAAACTAATTTTAAACTCCCTCCCTGCAGTTCCCAACCTTGTCCCCTCCTCCCAGCCCTAGTCCCTCAGCTTAGCTTTCAGAGGGCTGTGGATCTGAACACATCCTTCACAAAAAAACACAGCAGTTCACTGGGATGTTCCTGCAGTTGCCAGCTTCCTCTTCATCATCTGCAATAAAAAACAGACATAACACAAAACACTACCGGCAGTCAGCTTCACACTGGTCAATGCCTACCTCCTCCACACCATCCTCCTCTTAAGAAGCACTGTGGACTTGCCCTCATCTGCTCTGAGCCAATTCCAAAGTTCCACACTGCAGCAGTCGTGGCTTGTAGCACTTAAATTTCCAAGAGACACAAAATTACTGCTGCACTTGTGAGCCATCACCAGCCCCCTGATCCTCCTCGCTACTATTCCCAACTCACCTCATTATCCAGTGGCAAAGGTGGTTTGCCCGAGCCAGCTCTGGTGCCAATAATTCCACTTAACACAGGCACCCACTTAATCTCGACACCACTCACTGACCCACCACCTTCTTATGGGTCTCCGCTCGCCTCCTCCGTCACTCTTTCGTGCGCATCCTGTCCCTATTCATCTGAAAAAAAGTTATTAAACGATTCACCCGAATGCTGAGTAATAGCTTAACAAATCCAGAGGTCTCAATTCCAGTTAGGAATACCATCTAGAGTCCAGCTACAGCCTGCCATTAAAAAACAAACAAAATCACTACACCACACCACCTCAAACTGTAAAGCCCCAGTCCTACAAGCCTGAACACCTAGGAGATTCAATCTGCTTCATTACTGCCAAACAGTACGTGTCCCTGGACAGCCCTCTTGCCTACGGTAACTCTAAAACCCCTCCCTGCAATTCCCAACTTTGTCCCCTGTCCCAGTCTAATGTCAGGGGAGGTTTTGATATGATCCCAAGAGCAAGATTAAGATGCAAACAAGGTCAAATGCCATATACCCAGAACAGTTTCTGTTATCAGAAGTAGAAAAATAGTAGCGATGGGATACAATGGAATGAAAAGGCAGAATGGAATGAAAAGGCAGAAATCAAGCAAACAGTAGGAATTGAGTAGCAAGGATAGTCACCACCATGGATCTGTGGCATCCCATTGGTCTTCAGTGGTGGGCACGCACCGCGGCTTGTTTCCATGGTCTTTTTATAGAGCACAGTCCGACACACATGCGCATGTCTCGTGTGCTGTCCACATGCTTTATGTTTCATCTATCACACAACTTTTGCATGATCAGCAAACAAAACGACTTTGCACATCTCTGCATGCATACATGTGATGTTTTTCTCAAGCTGGAGGCCTCCGTGACCTTGCAAGCGTCCTTGTAGGCAGGCAATCTTTGAGACAAACAGTTCACAGTTCAGTCTCTTACATGCCCTCCTGCCAGAGCCCTCTCACAAACTTCAGTCCTTCAACTTAGCTTTCAGAGGGCCAGGGCTCTGAATCCATCCTCAACCAAAACTACATCAGCTAACCAGGATTTTCCTGCCATTGCCAGGTTCCTCATCATCATCTACACAAAAACAGTGCCAGCAGTAAGCATCATGTCCATCGACGCAGACCTCTTCCACAACACTGTCCTCAAAAGCAACATGGCCTTCCACTCACCTGCTCCGTGTCAACTCCAGAGTCGGACACCACAGCCATCATCGCTTGTGGCACCTAAGATATCAAAAGACAGAAAACTACTGTTGCGGTTGTGAGAAACCACCAGTCCCTTGCACTTCCTCTGTATTACCCCAGCTCACCTCAAATGCTCATCCAATTCCAAAGGCTGCCTGCACAGCACCTGGAAACCCAGAGAAACACTTAACCGAGCTACCACGGTATTCTCTGCACTTAGACACCAACACAGCCAACAACCAACTCGCCCTCTCGGACCGCTCATCAGCACGTGGCCTCCACCCTCAGCCTGCTTGGGGCACCTGCAAAAACCAAAGCAACAGACACATGCTGAGATACTACCTAAAAACACAGCCTGCCCACAGCTTATCACTCTACATCTGCAAAACCAATATCAAACAAGTCACCCGGATGTTGACCACCAGCTTAACAAATCCAGAGGTCTTGTTTCCATTTAGGATTACCATCTAGACTCCAACAACAGCCTGCCATTAAAACAAGAAAACCAAAACAACATTAAGCCCTACACATACAAGCCTTAATATCTTTGAGATTCAATCTGTCCAACTACTATTCAAGCAGCCTCTCTGTTAAAGGAGACTCGAACTCCGTCGTGGGTTACTCTAGGATTTTATTCAGGTCCAGCAGCGTTGGGTCACCTCCGCAGAGAGTAACAGCTTACGTGAGTTCGCATACATGTATTTATGCACCTACAAAGCATTACCTAATCCAAAATACACAGAATTATACTTTATCAGTCATTATTATCTTGACAGTGGGTTTCACATCTTGTTCTGGAGTCTGACCACTTCGTTGTTTTGTTTCTTCTTTCTTTTAGTCTTCAAGGACGATTACCCCAAGTTCTGTACGTCTCAGGTCTTAGTAGTCACAATGATAGATCTCCCATCGCTTCGGTAGCTAAGGGTCAGTTTCTCATACATCAACATCCTTTGAACTGTCAGGCACATCATTACCTTTGTTACAACATTTTATTGATGCTCTATTCGGTTGACTGCGCATGCAGCCCTGGGCTGGGGCTATGCAGGGGACAGAGCTGATAGAACAGCTTGTGCAGCAGCACTGCATTGCAACATTTTCCCAACAGTCCCCCCTTTTCTTTTAGGATACTCACTATCCTATCGGATACAATAGGGTCTGGTGGGAATTCGAGATAAACACGAGACACAACACTGACACACAAACATTACCGTGATCAAAATGATTATGACTAAAACAACTACCGTTAGAATCTTCTTGATTAAAGTTGGAAAATCAGGAATCCAAGAAGTAGCCCATTGCCATAAATCACTAACACCCCATGATACATTGTCTCGTTGCACAACTTGCATCATATGGCTTACTTCCCAAATTTGATGTACATCTGTTAACAATTCTCCTGTTTTATCGATAAACATACAACAACTGGTATTTAAAATGGTACACACTCCTCCTTGGGATGCTAATAACAAATCTAAGGCCATTCTATTCTGCAAAACCACTTGTGACAAATTAGAAAATTCTTCTTGTACAGTTAACAACCCCTTCGCTGTGGCATTGGCTAGCTTTTCAATTTCCCCTGAAATATTTAAAACTGCTTTTTCCAATTCACTTACTCCCAATCCAGGTATAAGCCATCGTGCAAAGGCATGAAATCCTGTAGGCCTTTCTACTAACGGATTCAAAATACTCCTCTTTGTGCGCTTAAAAAATGATCGATGCCAAAGATTTTCATCAGCCTGATGAGGAATAAATTCTTCATCTGAGGCTACAATTCCTAAAGTACAGATGCCTCCCCATTTTGGTGGCAAAACTTTGTAAGCATATTCTCCACACAATCAATAAATTCCAGGGATAGCAGATACCATATATCCTTCAGTGGCATTGTTCTGTATTGTAGTTAAATTGTCGCATCTCAAAGTCCAATTACCTACGAACACATGTCTATGACAAGAACCCGTGTTGGTATTTCCAAAGGGATAACATCTTTGCACACAATTCACAAAGGTATTATTTTGTAAAATCGTGTGAGAAAGTGTCAGGGCATGATTAGTAAAATTCTCCATCTGTATTGTGTGGTTCCATAGATAGTGCAAAGATGAATTTACTAAAATAGGGATTCCTATCAAATTTACCCCATGATGTGCAGATCGTTGCATCGCTGCACATATCCACCAATTTGAAATATTTAAATTGTCCGCAAATCGATGCATCAAAGTGACGTGACTATTATCATCCCAATACCGGTAGTGGCCTAATTCTACTGAATCAACACTGCGTCTTAATCTCATCAATTTTTGGTATTGCTGCTTTCTGAGATATAACTTTTTTGCTAAAGAAAAGGAAAGTTGAGAACTGTTCCTTGCAGGAGGGGTCGGCCAAGCTATGTCCCAAGTTTGTAGAAGGTGTAAAACTAGCATAAACCTTTCATTCGGGTACGAGATTGAAAAATTTCTACAACAGGGTCTTGGAAAGATCCCGTTGTAACAATAATCCAAACACCAAACTCCATGTCCACTAACTGGTTCTGTAAGGTGAAGATGATTGCAAGCAGCTCCAAGTTGATACCATCTATATTCTGGATGTCCCGGAACAGAATAAAGTGAGTATGGGTCCATAGTACCCTGAAATCTCGGGATGATGCATAATTCAAAATCAAACTTAAGTGGGTTTGAGATATTAAAGGTAAATGTAGAAAAAGGGGTCTGCAATGAGCTAACCTTTGATAAGGGTTCATTCTTCCTTCCCCTAAGCTGGAAAAACCTCTCCCAGGTGTGACCTCTAGCACTAGTTAATTCCACAGTACGATTATAATACACAGAATACTATTTGAACACAAAGGTATAATAATGGCAACAGACTGCTGGGATCACAATACTAAACAAGAAAGGTATATACATTCTTCAAAGCTTTCGGACATGAGAGTGATGAATCCAGGGTTCTTTGCCTTCCACTTTAACTGCATAAAAAGAAGTTAATAACACATGGTAAGGTCCTTCCCATTTCGGCAACATCTTATTCTTTCATTTAAATGTTTTTACCAACACTTCATCTCCCACCTTATAATCATGAACCTGTACTTCTGGTGTCACATCTTGGTACCAATATGCATATTTTCTAATTTTCTGAAAGGAATCTTGTAAATATAATAAATATTGAGTGACATTCTCATCTCCATCCAGTAGTGCAGTTTTTGCTGAAATATACGAACCAGGTGCAGCTAAAATTCGTCCAAATAGGACCTCTGCTGGGCTAATTCCTAACGGCTGCTTTGGAGTAGTTCTAAGATCCCATAAAACTAAATTTAATGCCTCTGGTCACTTTAATCCAGTTTCACTGCATACTTTCACTAATTTCTCCTTAATTGTTCTATTCATTCTTTCTACTTGCCCTGATGAAGGTGGGTGATACGGAGTATGAAACTGTCCTTTGATGTCTAGGTTTACATAAACTTGTAATAAAATAGCTGCTGTAAAATGCGGTCCACGGTCAGAGTCTATCACCTCAGGTACGCCATATCGAGGAATGATTTCCTTAAGCAAGATTTTTACAACTATTTTTGAATCATTCTTCCGGGTCGGGAAAGCTTCTACCCACCCAGAGAGTTGATCTACTATTACCAGCAAATATTTATATCCGAGAGCGGCTGGCATTTCCGCAAAATCAATCTGAAGTTTCTGAAAAGGATAGACTGCTGGCGGCCCCTTCCCTGGCGTTACTTTTGGCCTTATATCTCCATATCTCTTACACAAAGAACATGCTTCAGTCAGTTTCTTAGCTGCTGAAAAGATTCCTGGTGCTGCCCGTAGCTGGGTTACCTTTGAGGCTACTGCTTCGGGACCTCCATGCCCCTTCTCATGGTACCGACGTGCAAGTGGCAGTACATACCTTCTGGGCAATAGAGGTTTACCATTCAGGGTCCAGATCCCTTTATCTTGCACAGCTTGCATCTTCTTCCATTCTTCCATTTCGGTGGTCGGGACATCATGATAAAGGGTAGCAGGGTTTGGGATAGAAAAGAAATTAGCAACCACAACTTCAGTCGTGGGATAATTTTTAGTAGCGGCGGCTCGTGCTGCGGCATCTGCAAGAAAATTACCTGTTGCAAGCTGATCAGTGCGCTTCGTATGAGCAGGTATATAAATTACCGCAACTTCCTTTGGCTCTTGTATTGCCAACAATAAGTCATTAATCAAAGACCCATGTGCAATGGTTTTACCTGCAGATGTTAGAAAACCTCTTTCTTTCCACAATGCACCGACTGCGTGACAAATGCCATAGGCATACTTCGAGTCAGTGTAAATATTAACTCGTTTATTCTTAGCATACAATGCTGCTTTGTTTAGTGCTATCAATTCTGCAGCTTGAGCTCCTAATGTCGGTGGCAACTTTTCAGTAGCTATTGCAAAGCCCGTAAATCTCTTACCGTGAAGATAAAAGGAAGATCCGTCAGTAAAGAGATTCAAATCAGGGTGTTCCACCAGAGTGTCCCTCAAATCTTCTCTAGTCTTACTTATAGTTTTCAAGACAGCTACACAGTCGTGCGATCTTTCAGGTTCAGTCACTGGGAGTAAGGTAGCAGAGTTAAGAGTCTTTGATCTCTCAAGCTTAACATTCTCCGTTAGCAAGAGGATAATTTCATATCTGTGTGTCCTTTATGCAGAGAGTGCTTTTTCTGCATATTTGGTTAGTAAAAGTTCAACCTCATGGGGAACAGCAACTATGAGATAATGGCCTAGCACAATGTTCTTTGCCTTTTCCACCAGCTCAGCAGCTGCGGCAATAGACCGCAGACAGTATGGAGATCCTCTGATAACTGGGTCCAAGGTGACAGAATAGTATGCTACAGGACGTTCATAGGGTCCATGATTCTGAATTAATACTCCCTTTGCAATTCCTCTGTTCTCTGTTACATATAATTTAAAAGGTTTTTTGTAATCTGGTAACCCAAGAGCTGGAGCATTTACCAAGGCAGTCTTCATGGACATAAAAGCTGTTTCCAATTCTTCCGTCCATGGTACGGGTTCAGGGCTCATATCTTTAGTAGTTTCTACCAAAGGTTTTGCAATTTCCAAAAATCCCAGTATCCAGGGTCTACAATATCCAGCTTGTCCAAGAAAGGCTCTCATTTGTTTCTTAGTCAAAGGTCTAGCGATTTCTTGAATTGCTTGTACCCTATCTGGATCTAATTTTCTAGTACCTC